TAACAGATAATAACATATACAGATAAACAAACAGTTCACATGTAGTCCTACAGATCTACTAGACTAACATATCACGACTAGCATAACCAAACTAGCATACGTATCTATTCCATACTCGACATATCAACAATATCAGGCTATCAACCAAAGGGTCGGCCTTGGTGCCTTCGACCCGAAAGTACAGTGAGGAAAACTCACCTCGAATGCAGAAACTCCCCGAAAGAAAATCCTTAGTTGCTGCCCTGCCGGCTTCTCGAGCTATCATTACCAACAACACACCCAATTAGCAATTGGGTTCCATGCTATAATCCATATCCATACTTGGGGTAAAATGACCATTTTACCCCTGACCCAACATGAACCAAGACTGAGTCCCAAAACCAAAAGATCCATAAAGGCCCACTAATGGCCCAATTTTCCAAATTGGGCCCAACACCATATGAGCCTTATCCTAAGCCCATAATTTTCCTTATTACAATTCAGATTACTTCAAGCACCTCTTGGGATAAACTATGTCAAATACATAAATCCGAAAGTTAAAGTTAACGGTCCAAGTTGACCCAACTCGCCGAGTTGTCCTTCAACTCGTCGAGTTTCTCCATCAATCTCAAAATGTCAGGGAAAACCAAGCCAACTCGCCGAGTTTATCCAACAAACTTGCCGAGTTCTCCATAAACCCACCTCTTAACACATTAGGCACTTAATCCATGAGGACATGACTCCAAAACATAGATCTGACTTCCTTGAGCTACAAAACCATGTAAAGTTGCCAACTTTACGTTCTTGCATGTCTAAATGAAGCTCTTAAGCTTGGAATGGACTTAATAATTGACTTAATGCATGCATGACACCAAAATCCTCATAAAGTTTGCACCTTTAAGCTCAAGGGTACCAAAACCAACTCATATTTGAAGGAACAACCCCTAAAATGACTTTATTCCATCATCATCCCCAAAAAGAGGCCAAAACACAACAAAACCCAAAATAAGGAGATCTAATCATCTATAAGTCAAGGTATGAACTTGATACCTTAAAATGACTGGAAGAAATGGAGTGATTCTGGATCCAAGACTTCCTTCTCCAAGCTAGAAACTTCAAGATCTTCTAATTCCTTCACAATGCACAAAATGAACACCAAACTTCATTCCAAGGCTCCAAAAACTTGACAATGGAGGCTACAACTCGATTTAGGGTTTGGACAACAATGGAGGCTGATAAGGACGCCAGAAGAAAGACTTAAGAACTTTAAATATGGTGCAAGACCCTAAAAATTAGGGTTTCCTTCCCAGCTGCCAACTTGTCGAGTTGAGGCTCCCAACTCGTCGAGTTGGTTCATTAAACCCCCGTGATTCTTCCATCTTCAACACGACGAGTTGGTCCCTACAACTCGTCGAGTTGACCAAGAAATGGGGTTGTTCTCAACAATTTCTCTTCAAGATTTCAGATGTTACAATGACATCCTAAAGTTTTAATATAAACAAAATACATTTATTCGGAAATGATTTGATAATATATTTATCATGTTTTTCTGGGAATAAATTCCGCGACACTTTCTTTAAAAAGTTACTCTGATTTTTATATAAATCATAAACAAAATCAGTATTTTCTGGCCGTGAAAATGGGGAATCACATTCTAAGATGATCATATCTACCATGCTTCAAAAAGAGATACATAAGTTGTAATTTGCAAGTCAGTTGTGCATTGGTATTGCATAAACGCATCAGTAACTTGATGTTATAAAACACAGTGTCATGTGCGATTTAATGAGTAAAGGTTACAATTATGTAGTCAAATTTTATTCGTTCCTTTTTCCTTAACATGAAAAACAATATCTTTGGGCCCCTCTGTGATTTAAGTTGATCTATAAGAACCAGGGCTAGTCCAGACCAAACTGATGTGATCGATTTTGTAGTCTTAGTTTGATCATAAAAATAGAAGATCGAACAAACAAATTAACAGGAGGTTGATCATTTAATCCATGACTCAATTCATACGATATCTTATAGAATGAAAGAATAGCTGATCACTTATCTTAGAACCAATGTTTGATTTGAATCAAAGTTCGACAGTGGCTTTGGAAAGCACACTTTGTTGTTTGGTTCGAGGTTATACTTGTAATTATAGTTATAGACTTATTCAATTGGGAGTCTGATGGATTAAGGTGGTTAAGCTCATAACTAAATTGGTATACTCTTATAATTTGCAGTAAAGTCGTTTTTAGGTTGCCCTCATAACCAGAAATAGCTATAAATGATATTAGGAGAGAAAGGAAATAATTTGTTAATATATTATACGATTAATATGTTAATTAGAAATAGATAATTGATTTGTTAATTTATATGATTAATATGAAATCAATAAGAATTAATTAATTATTAATCAGAATCAATCTAGAATTAATTTGGGATAATTGGAATTAATTAAAGGTGCAAGGAGTGAATTGTAAATGTTTAATAGTTGAACAAAAGAATAAATTCTAGAACCATCCATGGTATGGACGGTTTTGGATGGATTCTTAGAGTTTCTGGAAGCCTCTTGGTTGTAGATAAGGAAAAGATTTGAACTGAGATTAAATCTATTATTTAATTAATTCAAATCTGGATAAGAAAATGATTTGAACTGCAATTAAATCTATTATTTAATTAATTCAAATCTAGATTGATCTGTCAGTTACCTAAACTATAAATATGACTCCATGGCTTGCAAATTTTGTGTACAACCTTTCTAAGAGGCTTATGAACGTAATTTCCTTCTCCATTCTATCTCTCATCTTCATTCTAGGGTTTCTAGGGTTTTGGATGTGAGTTATTAGAGACATCATACTTTTTGGTGCTAGCTTTCCAAGATCAAGAAGGATTCAAAGATATTGTTCACTAGTACAATAACAAGGTATGTAATCTAACCCTAATTAGTTAATTTGATTATACCGATGGTTCCTTAAGTTTCATAATATGTTGCTATTAATTGTGAAGACATAGATCGTTAGGTTGTATGTACCCTTAAGTGTTAAGAGAATTTTCGCAAGTACATAAATTTTGTAACCTTAAAATTCCATCAAAAGTTCATAAAATGTTGCCATTTTTTTTTGGAAAACCGATGTTATTTGTCATATAATTGGTGAGAAAATAGAGATTTTTTTTCATTTACTTTCTATGCATATGAAGTAATTGGACTTGATATTACTACTTATATATAAAAATTAAATTACTTAGTCAAGAGCAGTGAATGCCCTATCTTTGACTATTAATTATATTTAACTAGAAATTGTCTTCTCCCTGCTTCGCGTCAGACACATCGGTAATTTTCAATTGCTTTTGTTAAACTCATAAGTTCCAATGTTTGTTTGTTTGTAGGGACGTAATTTGTAAATTTTCTATTAGGCAATGACCATTTTTCTAAATTTTTTTTAAACACATGGATTAGTTGCTATAAAAATAATTCTGACACATGGACATTTTCTATAAATTATCAAGGACAATTTTTGTAATTTATTTTCTAGAAAGAGACCAAACATATCAACATACGAAAGTCTCGTGTCGAAAATTTCAATCCGAAAGAGTATACCATTTAAACATATGAACCATTTCTGTAATAATAAAAAAAAAAAAAAAAAAAAAAAATGCATGGGGACATGCTCTATAAATTACAGATTTAGTTCTATGTATGGACCAAACCATTACGATACGCTAAAATATTATGACCACAAGTCTAAAATACCACAGTAAACAATTCATAAGGACTTGGTTTTTTTTTATATATAATAATAACATGACTAAATTAATAGCCAATTACTCAACAGCATAATTTTAGCCCACTTTTTTTTTTCTTACTTTGTCCTAAAAAAGTTATAACAACAAAAGCTTATAAGGTTTTTAAAGTTTCCTACTTTCTTCCATTTGAAACTTTGTCTTAGTTTCAACAAGTTTAACATAGTTTAGAATACAAGTTTTGAAAGTACAAGTTTAGCATGAAAATATTTAGGTTAAGTTTGAATTTTGAATAGATTTATGTTTACTTTGGATTTTGAATATTTATGTTTAATTTGGATTTTTATGATTTTCTATTTTTCTAATTATCCAGTAACTTGGTTTAAATATTTTATAAAACAATAACATGGTATTTAGCAAAAAAATAAATAAATAAATAATCATTTATTCAGCATAGACATTCAATGATTCAAATGACTAAGCAAACTTCATATTATCATTTTCAGACAGATTAGTTCATTGCATATATGTCATTGTCATTGGTTTCATTTGGAAGGCTACTATGAGTGGCATTCCAACTTCTTTGGAGCTCGCTCGAAGAGGAGTGCCAATCCATGCTTTTGACTGTCATCTTTGCTTGGATGGTTTGGATTTTTCGGATCACATCCTGGTTGATTGATCTTTTGATAGAGAGCTTTTTTTGCGGATTTTCAAGTGGTGCGACATTCCTCCTCAAAGTTTTAATACGGTCAAAGATGTTGTCAATTTTGCTGCCAACTGGGGTAGAATGTAGATGACCAAAAAAGAGTAAAATTTTGATGATTGTAATTTGAATGTTTGGGTGTGTTGTCCTTTTAACATTTTGTAATTTTTATTTCTTTTTGCCCTGTCTTTTTCTCTTTGACAATGGTTTGCTTTTATAAAATTTCCGCTGTTTCAAAAAAAATCATGCGTTTGATTAGAAATTATTAATTATGGAACAAAATAAATCAATTTTATCAAATATCACCATAACTAAAAGATGAGAAATGGGAAAACGAAGAGAGGATGGACACTTGAACATGGAGATAGATGAGGACCACCTTTTCTGTAATTTCTACGAAATTAAAACCGCTGACAATTTTTTTGTAGAAAACGACGTACACAAATAATCAATCAAATACTTCCCATCCACGTTTAACAGTATTTTAATTTAATTCTAAATCTATCGTAAAACTTATAGTCAAACTATATACTATTGCACCGTATATATTCTTGTATAAAAATTTCTAGTATTTCTTTTCTTCATTCGTAGTTTCGATTCCATAAAACAATTACAAATACATGAATAAATCATTTGTGGTTGTAGTTAACCTTATCACATCATTACTACTCTTGTGCTTTAATATGTTCATAACATGAAGTCCATGGAAGTAGATGTTACAACACTCTGCACATAATTAACATACTATTCCAACAGACCAAATCCCTTAATAAAACTTTAACCACCTCTCTCATGGTTGATCCTAGTGTGCAAAGTACAAACCATCCATGTTTAGCTAGATCTCAACTTTTTGATCTTCTCTTCCTCGAGGGGAAAAAAGACCAGCATCCATTACTGCAACCATTATTTTTCCTACAACATAGTCGAAAACAAATATTCATATTAGCATATACAAAAAATTCCACTAACACATCCAAAATATTACAAATGTTTTAATCAACACTACAGGTTCAAATTGTAGTTTACCATTTTTACAAAATATTTTTTTATAATATATGTTTGTATGTGTGTGTTTGTTTTATTGTGTTTAAGTTATGGTCGATTGTGAGGAACACATGTGTGATGCGGCCATATATAAATGGTACAAAGGTACAGAATAATTAGTTTACTGCCAGCCGCGTTCAACATATATCGTTTTGATCACTTTCACATTATATATTATATCAATATATTATATCAATATCATAATATTTTTTTTAATAATTATGAAAATTGTATCTTCTAGAAGATGAATGACAGAGAAAACGTAATGGCTCAAAATTCGAAATAAGTTATGCGATATTTAGATGAAAATCTTTTTGGTCGGTTTAAATTCTAAGATTTTTTACTAATTTAAGATTTTGACACGGTTTATGACATTAAATATTAAAAAATCAAGAGAAGATATGATCTCATCACACCTTACGAATTTGTAGCGTACAAGTTATTGATGCATGATTATAGAAATAAGGATACCTGGCGCTGTTACTGTGGAGGCTATCGGCGGCACTGCTACCGCTGCTGCCACTGCTTCCACTTCTACCGGTGCTTTCGCTGCTGCTACTCGTGATTCCTAAGCTTTCGTTATCGCTGGAACCGGTAAATTTCTTCCACCACCGATCCCTACTGTCACCACCGCCGCCGGCGGATTTGTCCAGTAATTCCGGCTTGGGAGAAAATTTTACACCGGCACCATGATTGCTACTGTTCCCAAAAGACGTGCTAGTTCTAATACTACTCCTCTTCTTCGATCCAATTGTAAATGGAAAAAACATATTGATCATAAGGCCTTTATTGTGATTAATACTCCCGTTTTTCACGATTACGCGCCCTGATTTATTGCTCTCTTGCCTTTTCACGCTTCCTTTTTTGCTCTTCGTCCGCCGTTGACTACCCGTTTGACCAGAGCTCAATATTGATCTCTCTTCTCCTTCTTCCATACTTTGTGTTTCATCAACACTAACATCGGTAACTAATTCTCTTCTTTGTTCAACTATATCTTTCAACGATAATTCATACGAAGTTTCCGGCATGTTCTCCACCATCTCCATGATCTCTCTCTGTCCTCTAGCAATCGCTTGCGCTCTCGAAGACGGTGACAGAGGCCGTTGATTGTTGAATCGTACCGGACTATCCGGCGGACTTAGGCTCCGCCATAACGGAGGCGAGCAGACGCCTGAGTCTTCGTCCATCGTTTCCAACCTAAACTGAATACCTCCTGCTGCTGCTCCTGATCCTGAAGCACCGCCGCCGTTGAACCTATTTCTGTGATTGTGATTGCCATGGTGATTTGGAAAAGTCGAATTGTTCCAACCAACGAACTTGTGATTTGGTTTTTGGTTTGGGTTGTTGGAGAAATGAGGGTTTAGATCAAACATGGTTTGTGATTTTGTGGGGAGAGGAGAAATTGGTTGATCGGTGTGGGTGAAGTGGTGGTGGTTGCGGTGGCATTGTCAATGAATGGCTTCTAATGGTCCGTTTGTGACTTTATAAAACAAGAAACAAATGGTATGGCTTTAATTTGGTGTCAAATTTATAATTAATTAAAAGTCAAGGGCTTCTAGATGGGGTGGGCCGTGCGCTTCAGGGCTAATTTCTTTCTCCCCAATTCTCTAGTTTTTTTTTTTTTTTTTAACGGTAAGCTGGCATTAAAACACAAAATAAACTAGTCAGGGGCTAGGGGCGAGGAGGTACAAAACAAGAAAAAACATTCTAAATAAAAGAAACAAACAAAGCTAACAAAAGAACAGCCAAGTTATAGCCTACAGTAACATTCTAAAATCGGATTACAACTCCATTCACTCCATCTTAGCACCTGCCCTTTTCTATTCCTTGCATTGATCCAAAGAAGCGATAACGATTGTACCTCATAAACCAGCGCCACGTGTGGTTTTGGATTTGGGTTTGAAGAATGGGCTTTAGAGTTCCTGTATCTCCAAATCACCCAAAGAAATACCAACATTATACCCTCATGAATATTTGCCAGCCTATGGTGACCCCCGAGCTTTGCTTTACATTCTAACAAATCGCGTAACGAGTTTAGAGGATAGTCCAACAGCCGCCACCATGTACATACTTCTTGCCATACTTCATGTGATATTGGGCAATCCACGAACACGTTCATGTCTCTTGTCTCGAATTGGGGCTTCACCGTTTGAGTACAAATATTTAGGAGGTGTTTGGGATTATATTTTAAAATTAATAATATTTTTTAATAAAATTATTTATTAGCTTAGCAATATAAATTTAACAGAAAATATTTAGATCAATTAATGACGTGGTAAAACATAATAATTTGTAAGAGCACTAGGTGTGGACAACTAGATGTAACACCATTTTGGTGCGACATCACATGCCACATCATCAATGGTGTTATAACACCAAGTGAGGAAATGGTTACCATATTGTATCTTGTTATGACACCAACTTTTTTTTCCATTTTATAATTTATTTTTTATTTTTTTCGAATTTTTTTTAATTTAGACAAATATTTTTTAAATATAACATAATAAATAAAACATAATGTTTAAAATTTTATATAGAAGTAAGTTCAAATAAAAACAGTAAATAGTGTGAGTATTCTGTAATGAATTTTGTATATGTGTATTGTTGAAGTAATTCTAATATAAATATTAACTTTCGATTAGTCATATATTCATTACAATGTTATTATTCCATTATAAACTTATGTATGTGCATTTTTGTAGTAAATTCTAGGGAGAATTTCATATATGCCATTCTTAAACATCAAAATATCATATTTACCCAACTTAATTTCTAAATATCATATTTACCCTTTATAAAATTTCTAAATATCATATTTACCCTTCATAAAATTTCAAAATATCATATATGTCATTTTTAAACATCAAAATATCATATATGCCCTTCTTAAATATCAAAATATCGTATATGTACTTTTTAAACATTAAAATATCAATGATAATATCTAAAATATCCTCCATCTACAACATGATAATAATCAACAACAACAAAAACTAAGCAATCAAAATATACATTCCATAGAGAGGGTTGAAGATGAATCTTTTTGTTTGTCAAAAGAGCGACATTCCAACAATTTAGAAGTTCACATTTCATTATCATAGACGTAAGGATAATATTGGTTAAATTTTTTAATTATTATAATAATTCTAAGGTATAAAAAATGATTATAAAATATTAAAAACATTATAAAAAATGATTTGGGCAAATATGATATTTTAAAGGTTTATGAAGAGTAAATATGATATTGAGAAATTAAGTTTTGGGCAAATATGATATTTTGAAGTTTAAAAGGGGCATGTATGAAATTCTCCCTATGGAATAAACAAACCATTAATGTTACTTACACCAAAGAATGTCGGATGGCTTAAGTTGGTTGCATTTTTCATATTAAGAAGAACATGTCCTTTTATCCTTCCATTCACTCACTGAATTTCCAATCAAACTCTATTTAACGCGTAAGTTAACTTATTACCAAAGACGTTTCTTACACCAAGTAATGTGGAATTGCTTAAGCTGCATTTTTCCTTTTAAGGTTGGAGGGAGTGGTGCCACACTCCCTCCTTTTACCGCACTTTTTTACAACACCCAAGGGGTGGAGAGATAGAGGAAGAGAGAGAGAGAGAAATAAGAGAGAGATAGAGAGATGGAGGAAGAGAGAGAGAAAGGGAGCGCTCCCAATTCTTGCCACACTCCCCAAACCGCACTTCGAAACCGCAGGGAGGGGGCGGTGTTTCAGTGCCACATCAGCTGAAACCGCACCACACACCCCTCCAGTCTAAAATCAGCATATCCTTTTATCATTTCACTCACTCATCAATTTTCTAGTCAAACTATGCCCTCTCATTTATAGATAATACAAATAATTAATATTTCTTACACCAATCGATGTGGGATGTCTGAAGCTGTGTTTTCATTTTGTCCTTTCAACCACACATCGATGTGAGATTTGCTCATTGCAACTTTTTCATTGCTAGTTTTAATGTTTTTATTATTATTTATCTTCCATTTATTGTTAAGAAGAAAATATCATATTGTAAAAATCAAACACAATCCTTAGGCCATGGAGTATACACACCGAATAGGCACATAAAAAGTATCATCACGTCCAGGGGCGGACGCAGAATTTCATAGTAGGGGTGTCATGAAAAGTTTTAGTGGTTGCACGATAATAGGAAAAAAATTCAAAAAATTTTACAATACGTCCGGAAAAGTCAGTGGTTGTTTGTGCTACTACGTGTCCTATACTAAAACCGACACTAATCACGTTACTATCACCTCATCAACATAACAACATCACATTACTTGGTATATCAACCACACCACATTATTAAAATAATTTACTTTTTGGATAAAAAATGTTGGAAAATACCGAAGAAATGGTCCAAATGGATGAAAAAAAGACTCTTGCCATAATGCATGAGGTAGCATTATGTCACACCAAACTAATTAATGTTACACCAAAAACTTTGTCATATTGGGATGAAAAAACACATCGACTACGTACATACAAAAAGTTAGGAAGAGTAGAAATGATGTGATAGAATGACCATTCCCATATAAGTTAGGAAGAGTAGTAATCAGCATATGTTTGAAAAATGAAAACTCGAACTTAACCAAATTTCTTTCAAAGTGTCACGATCATTTCTATCGTAATTCTCCTCAAGAATATATCTTTTTAGGTACATGTCTTCATCTAAAATGGCTTTAGCAAGATTTTTTTTAAGAAATATTGATGAATCAGAAGTAATATGTTTTGTAATTATTCTTAAACAAATTGATTGATTGTCAATGTTTTTTTAAACATCCAAAAAGGGAAAAAAAAATATAATTCTATATTTAATTTTGGGTTATTTTAATTAGAATCAAAGTTCTAAAAAGTTCGTCATGGTCTCGTCATAGCGTGTCATGACTTCAAGACTTGTACTTGCTTTCAAACTTTAACAAAATGTCGCATTAAGTTACGTATATAAAAATGAATAATAGTAGAAAATATATATATATATATATATATATATATATATATATATATATATATATATATATTATTATATATATAAGTATGAATTATATATAAAATTGTTGTCTTAAGCCACACCTTACAAACGACGTGACTCGCCATGACTCGTAAAAGCTTGAAGTTTGACATTGTCGTCAAATTCACGTCTAATGTTATTTAGAACTTTGATTAGAGTAATGTAATTCATTTTTTGGTACATTTTTATTTATTATTTATTTATTATGTATTTATATTTTATATATGTAATCATTCTTACAAATATGATAATCCAACAAACCTTACAAGTGATATCAATAGGGCTGTAAACGAACCGAATGACCGGAGAACCGTTCGGCGGAAAGTTCGTTTATGTTCGTTTATTTGATAAATGAACGAACATGAACACAAAATTCATGTTCGTTTAGTCAAACGAACGGATATGAACAATATTATCGTTCGTTCATTTATGTTCGTTTACGTTCATTTATGTTTGTTCGTTTAAGTTTATTTATGCTCATATATGTTCAATTGTTTTTTATTATATTACTATATTATATGTTCAAATGTGTTTGTATATCTTGGTTCGTTTATGTTCATTTAGCATTTCACGAACATAAATGAACGAACATGAACAATGTAATTTATTAAATGAACGAACATGAACAAGAAAACACGCTCATTTATCTGTTCGTGTTTTTCGTTTGTTCGACTAACTTAAACGAATGAATATGAACAATCCCTTATTCGTGCTCGTTCGGTTCGTTTAGAGCCCTAGATATCAATATATATTCATTATTCCGAGCTTGTAGGTTGGGGTTAATGGCATATTTACTTTTTTTTTTTCGAAAGAGCATGGCATATTTACTTGATGAAATTATGAATTTATTTATATTAATTTATGTAAGGTGTTGGCTACTTATTATATTACCAATTTATCTATGGATAAATTGGTATAATTTACTAATAATTTGAAACTTTTTAGAAATAAAGTCGATCATTTACCTATTTGTGTATGCAAAAACTATATATTTTCACTAAAATGTTAATATATAACTCCATTGTTGGTAAGAAATTCATTTTGATGCGTATTTAGAAAAAAGTTGTACAATTTCGGTGCACAAATTTTAATTAACCCTTAAAGTATCTATAATATAATGAGAGACTTAAATCCCTTCGAGAGAGTTTTTCCAAACAAAAATCAAGAAAAACAAGTGTTCCAAATTTTTTTTAGGTATTTATACCCTGAAAAATGCAAAATCGCAGGTGGTAGCAGATAGACTAATCAATTTGCGAACGTACAAGTCCCTGATGCACAACCATGCTTTAGCAGCTTGTACTGTAGCATCCATAAAATTCATGAAAAATTTAAACTTTTTAAACAACCCCAAAACCATCATTGTCTACATCTTGTTTTCAAAATAAGTTCAATATCAGAGAAATTCCAAAATCATAAAGTAACACATGAGGAGGTGCACGATCATGCCTTCGTCGTCCCGCGATCCTCTG